TAGGCATGCGCAATTCAACAGGAAGTTTGATATTTTCGGACTTCCAATCGGAACCACTCTCCGCTGGTCAAGGGAGGCGAACACTCTGGTTTCGAGGTTGTCTCGCATTCAGCATGGGTTTCGCCTTTCTACGCAAGTCGCATGTAATTTAGTGCTCTCCTTGTGAACAGAAGAACATGCCATTTGGGCCTTCAAGGACCCGTTATTATGAAATAACTTTGACAAGAAGCAATTCTCGACGCGCTTTGCAAGCATTGTGTAAAACAAACATAGAGAAACGAAGAAGAATATCCGAGATATTTCACGCCACTTCAAAAGTTCCTGTGATTCTTAAGGCCCTTTAGTTGTATAATGACTTTTATTAACATTTGCGATACTGGGTAAAATAAGCGGATAGACGCTAAACTGGAGATTGCTTTCGGGACAACAATGATTAAGACACTGGGTGAGACCTGGCTTGGGAAAACTGGTGAAAAAGGCTGGTTTTCGTTATCGCATAAGCAGATGCTTAAGCTGACATCCACCGACGCTTTAAGATGTTGATAGTTAGCATCTCTTGTTGGGACAAGTTCCCAACAAAAGGCGCGTCTGCGTATTATTGCTCATGCTAATGCGCTAGTGAAAACCATGTCCATACGAATATCCTATATCAGGTCAGTGATGAACGTGGCGGTAAATGTTATACCCATGTGAATTAAGCGTAGAAAGTCCCAGATTGCGCATAACAGTCCGCCTTACTACGTCCTGTCTTTCATCAGTCCCTGCATAAATATTTTCCTTCAAAACTTAGCGCTTCGAATTTTGGACAAAGATTTCTCATTAGATTGTTGACTCTTTGATAGTTAAATTTTTAATTCGAGTTCTTGCCAGATGCTATTACAGGAACAGTTTTCGTTTTCCCAAAGTTAAAAAAAAAAAAACATTCCGCCGAAGGAGTTCAGAGTTACCTTTTAAAAATTTCAGATAGCATCGTAATATTTGTAAGCTTATAGCTGTCTAGAGATAGTTTCTCATTTGATGCGGATGTTGTTTGGCTCGCAAAGTCTTATTTTTGGGTTTAGAAGTTTGAAAATACTGATGAAAGTTTAGCCTATATTCAATTTATTTTTTAAATAGGCAAGACTTGGACTTCTCTTCACGATTAAATGTAGTCTGGCAAACGTACAGATACGACTGTACCTCTTTCACCAAATATGACAAGAATTTGTTGTCTATTAACCAAATAATTCCCTGCGAAAAGACTACGACAGGTTCCCTGGCTGTCTGACCAGAGTTACCACGCAACCACACTAACATAAATTTGGTAAAAGCTGCAACTTTTGAAAATAGTTGGTTCTTACCCTGAAGGGAAAGAGTTGTGTCAATGAATAAGGAAGAAAATGAAGTCTTCTTGGAGTCGCCAGGGCCCAGTATCATCAATATTGTCAAACGGAATGATAGCAACACAGCAAGCCTTCTTGTGTACTTCCCTGAGGGAAGAAGACAAGGAAAGAAAAAAGCGCAATCCTTCTCTCAAATTGCTAGTAACAGAGGGGACACTTGCCAACTTGGCAACACGAGTGGAGATCGGACAACCTGTCCGCGTTTGACTTAGCTGAAGGCACACATTTCTAATATAGCACTGGGGCTTTCTGCCAAACTTATATTTGGTCTTCTTTGTATCAAGTTTCTTCTGGGAATTACCAGACAATGGAATACTAGAAAATTTTAAGTTTTGCACAGAAAGCCTCGGAGCCATATTAGAATTTTTTTTTTTTCATATGAAATAAGGGCTATTCTCATGTTATGAATGAGCGCTGACTTCATCACTTACCCCAAACTTCTAATTCTTTGAATGTGTGCGCCTACAAGACATTGTTACAACGTCCACGTGCAAATGGTATCGCAGTTCATTAACCAATCAAACTGAAGAACTCTACCAATATATTTGACCGGTTGCTCCCTTAATTAAAAAAAAACATCTGGGTATGAGAATTTCTAATTGATTAGCAAGCTTGAAATATAATTGGGTTTGAATACCAAAAAAATAAAAATTATTTTCACAATCGTTTTCACAATCTTAGTATAATTCAGTGTTAGTTGTGTTCAAAAAATGTTCATTAAATGGTCATTGTAATGCAACACCTTGAGGATGCTTAGCAATAACCTTCTCAAGTTTGGCAGGCATTTTATTTTATGGGGAGCAGGGATGGCACTGTGGTTAGAGCACTCTACGCCCACCAATGTACCCAGGGTTTGATTCCGGCCCCATGCCATAAGTGGGTTGAGTTTGTTGTTGGTTCTTGCCTTGCCCCGAGGGTTTTTCTCCAGGTTTTCCTGTTTTCCTCCTTCAATAAAAACCAACTCCCCAAATTCCAATTTGACCAGGATAGGGGACCCGCATGAAAACCAGCTAAAGCTGATTTGGTTTCGTCTCTAAATATTGTAATTTATGGCAAGTGTAGCAGAAAAGCGTGAACTTCTAGCATTAAAACTGAGACAAGTTGTACTTTTAGAAATGAGAGTTCATATTGAGAGGGAAAGTCCTCCATCAGCAAGCACAACCTGCAAGAGAGATTAAAAAACAAGAAATGGAACTATAAATATATTTTCACTAACTCCTTCACAAAGGTTTCATGGTGAAGGGCAGAATAAAGCAACAGTACTCATCTCATACTGCACCTTGACAGCAATCTAAGCTGTAGAACACCCTTAAATATAGCTTAGATTTCTCTTAATTCAAAAAATATAGTTGAGCCCCCATAAGCAAACAACCTCATGACCTGGAAAAGTGTCCACTTAAGAGAGGTTCCCACCTATGGGAGGTTTTATTTCTTGAGGTAAGAGATGGATCTAGTTAATTATGTCATACTCTTGGGGAAAAAAATCAGTGTTAATGGGATTGCAGACGCAAAGACAATCAGCCATCAATTTCACACATTAAACAAATTTTGAAATACAAATACAACAAGAAAAGAGTACCTTTTTGCTACTGTTGTTGCTTGCTACTTTTCTTATAGAGTTATACATGGAGTATCATTAGTAATCCTTTTTTCCAATATGATTTACGTTTTTGGTGAAAAAAAGAAGAACACTGACTATAGGGATTAACTTGTTAAACAAGGTAGTGTAGTCACTCCTTCTAGAAAATATTGAATGTGGGTTATGTAAAACTTGAAATAATGTTTCATTATTATTATTATTATTATTATTATTACTAATTAATTTTAATAAATTGCTGTATTTGTAATTGAAAACAATAGAATGATTGTGTTACAAAAAAATGATGAAGTATCCACTTTTGGCAGGTGTCCACCTATGCGAGATGTCTGGTAGTAAAGGCACAACATAACCTCACAACCACTGTACCTGGCCTGTAATATATGGTGTCTCAACTAAGAAGCAAACAACCTCTGCAACCTCATGTGTTTTGCCATATCTACCAAGAGGAATCAAATGTTCAATTTCTGAGTTCCCTGTCCTAAGGTTTGAAGTCATGTCAGTATCTATGAATCCGGGTGCAACCATGTTTACTCGAATATTGCGAGATGCCACTTCTTTGGCTAGTGATTTAGTGAAACCTACAAGTCCTGAAGAAAAGAAAAGAAAAGCAAAGGGTTTCAAATGTGATGTCGTTGTACTATCAGTCTGACATTTTCGTGTCAAAATATCATCAACCTTCTTATTTTCATTTTATCCCTCAAAGACGTAAACTACCTGTAAATGACAAGAGGACTTTTTTAAGAATGACTACAGTCTGCCAAAGGTGCGTGACAAATGTGTGAAGAAAATATCAAACTGAAACTCTAGAACTATCTTGTTGTTTTGCTTTTTAACTGCCTTTATGCAGGAAAAAACTGAGTTATGTTCTGGGTCACTGTACTTTTGTTGGGTCTGGTTTTAACCTGATAGGACCTTTTTAACATCTGACAATTTGGCCTCATGCCCCGTCCAAGCCACCGCCCCCAGTGTATACCAGCAGTGTATACATAAACTTGTTGTGATGAATTAGTATCATATATTAAGAATCTGTACAAATTGCCTGTGCCATCATTGGCTATAGGCTTTAAAGTCATAACTCCTGTGAAGGTTGTCATATTATGTAGTTTCGGAAAATTTCAACACTACAACCTGCAGAGAAAATTTTTTGGTTTGAATCTCCCTCCCTCCCTCNCCGTGATATCGGAAAAGATTTGATGCGTAGTGTAGAGGCGGCCTTACTATGGATAGAGGTAGAGAGCTGCTACTCATGGTTGAGCCATATAACAACGTGGCAAAAGTTGTTTAGCATGTTTTCTTGAAAAAACACGCGAAAAGAGATTACAGGAAAAGAGATTACAAAAACAAAGGGAGTTTAATAGAAGAGTAAAGGAAACTGAGACTAAGCAACAGAGAGAGGAGCGTTCGAGTAAAAGTAGGGTAGCCTATTCAAGAAGTAAAGGATCTAAGGATAGTAAAACACTAAATCTACGAGGTTACTTGAAGCAACCATCTTGTGATCAGTTGGTTGTTAATTTTCACAAGCTGGTTGTTGCAGGGCCAACGTTTGTCTGCATGTGTTGTGATCAATTATGGTACAAACATAATCTTATTAGAACTGAAACTTAACTCAGTAACGGTTTTGTGTACTCTTTTAACTGTATCATTTTTTCCTTCCGAACATTTTTTTCCTTAATCTTTCAACTTAAAGAAAATAATTTGAACAGCAAAATTATGCAATAAAAATTATAGGTCATCATGCTCGTTTAAGATAACAAGAGCGTTTATTTCGCTGTCAAGCTCAGCTTGATGGAAATCTCTTACATTGTGTACTTGCACGCACTCATGTGCGCAAGCTAATGACGCGAAAATCGTGCGCAGTAGGGATGCGCAATGCAATACTGAGGAATCACCTTAAAATTTTATAGAAAAGTGAGAGAAAACTACTTTATTTCATCACTGTCTTACCTTGTAAATTATCTACATTTCCACTGAGTAAGAAGGCTTCAATTATTTCTAAACCCATTTTACTTGTGACATGCACTTAAAAAATCGACCTACTGCCTTACTTCCATACTGACTTTTAATGACGTACTCACGTACTGACTTATAAAACTGACACAAGGAGATCAAAATTTAAACGACGTCTCTTATTTTATCAGCAGAGCACAGGGGTCAATATTTTTCCACGTCAAGACGTTCCTCTTAAGTTCTTTTACATAGGAGAGTAGAAAAACCAGCCTACTAAAGCGTTTAACAGCTCTAAACATAAAGAGAACACATACCGACTGCCAGGAGCCCGAGGCGACATTTATTTGAGACCTGACGCAGTTTTTCCTAAAGTTGTTTTATTCGGGAGCAAAATTAAATCGGCCGAGGCGTACAGATTTCTGGCTCGTGAATGGTCGCTAAGTGGTTTCCACGAGTTCGATTTCACTTACACTGGTGTTGCTTGCGTGGCCAGTATCATTTAAAAAGAAATATTTTTGTTCCGCAGCATAATGTGCCGTTAAGGGTTCCAAACTTTTTGCCCTCTTAGTAAGTAATTCCATAAGAAAATACTGAATATGTATTAAGATTAATACCGCCTGCAGGGTTCTACGCAATAGACCAATTTCGATATATTAAAATTCAGACTAACACAATAGACCTCAGTAAAAGGCTCCGGGGAATAACTACAGAGTTTGTAACTGGGGTTTACTCCCCAGACACTGGAAAGTTCCGTTACAGCATCGATTTTGATTGGCTTTAAAGACATTAAAACATGACCGGAAGTAAAACACCAATTAGAGCAATGTGTTTGGCAGCTAGGCATGCGCAATTCAACAGGAAGTTTGATATTTTCGGACTTCCAATCGGAACCACTCTCCGCTGGTCAAGGGAGGCGAACACTCTGGTTTCGAGGTTGTCTCGCATTCAGCATGGGTTTCGCCTTTCTACGCAAGTCGCATGTAATTTAGTGCTCTCCTTGTGAACAGAAGAACATGCCATTTGGGCCTTCAAGGACCCGTTATTATGAAATAACTTTGACAAGAAGCAATTCTCGACGCGCTTTGCAAGCATTGTGTAAAACAAACATAGAGAAACGAAGAAGAATATCCGAGATATTTCACGCCACTTCAAAAGTTCCTGTGATTCTTAAGGCCCTTTAGTTGTATAATGACTTTTATTAACATTTGCGATACTGGGTAAAATAAGCGGATAGACGCTAAACTGGAGATTGCTTTCGGGACAACAATGATTAAGACACTGGGTGAGACCTGGCTTGGGAAAACTGGTGAAAAAGGCTGGTTTTCGTTATCGCATAAGCAGATGCTTAAGCTGACATCCACCGACGCTTTAAGATGTTGATAGTTAGCATCTCTTGTTGGGACAAGTTCCCAACAAAAGGCGCGTCTGCGTATTATTGCTCATGCTAATGCGCTAGTGAAAACCATGTCCATACGAATATCCTATATCAGGTCAGTGATGAACGTGGCGGTAAATGTTATACCCATGTGAATTAAGCGTAGAAAGTCCCAGATTGCGCATAACAGTCCGCCTTACTACGTCCTGTCTTTCATCAGTCCCTGCATAAATATTTTCCTTCAAAACTTAGCGCTTCGAATTTTGGACAAAGATTTCTCATTAGATTGTTGACTCTTTGATAGTTAAATTTTTAATTCGAGTTCTTGCCAGATGCTATTACAGGAACAGTTTTCGTTTTCCCAAAGTAAAAAAAAAAAAAACATTCCGCCGAAGGAGTTCAGAGTTACCTTTTAAAAATTTCAGATAGCATCGTAATATTTGTAAGCTTATAGCTGTCTAGAGATAGTTTCTCATTTGATGCGGATGTTGTTTGGCTCGCAAAGTCTTATTTTTGGGTTTAGAAGTTTGAAAATACTGATGAAAGTTTAGCCTATATTCAATTTATTTTTTAAATAGGCAAGACTTGGACTTCTCTTCACGATTAAATGTAGTCTGGCAAACGTACAGATACGACTGTACCTCTTTCACCAAATATGACAAGAATTTGTTGTCTATTAACCAAATAATTCCCTGCGAAAAGACTACGACAGGTTCCCTGGCTGTCTGACCAGAGTTACCACGCAACCACACTAACATAAATTTGGTAAAAGCTGCAACTTTTGAAAATAGTTGGTTCTTACCCTGAAGGGAAAGAGTTGTGTCAATGAATAAGGAAGAAAATGAAGTCTTCTTGGAGTCGCCAGGGCCCAGTATCATCAATATTGTCAAACGGAATGATAGCAACACAGCAAGCCTTCTTGTGTACTTCCCTGAGGGAAGAAGACAAGGAAAGAAAAAAGCGCAATCCTTCTCTCAAATTGCTAGTAACAGAGGGGACACTTGCCAACTTGGCAACACGAGTGGAGATCGGACAACCTGTCCGCGTTTGACTTAGCTGAAGGCACACATTTCTAATATAGCACTGGGGCTTTCTGCCAAACTTATATTTGGTCTTCTTTGTATCAAGTTTCTTCTGGGAATTACCAGACAATGGAATACTAGAAAATTTTAAGTTTTGCACAGAAAGCCTCGGAGCCATATTAGAATTTTTTTTTTTTCATATGAAATAAGGGCTATTCTCATGTTATGAATGAGCGCTGACTTCATCACTTACCCCAAACTTCTAATTCTTTGAATGTGTGCGCCTACAAGACATTGTTACAACGTCCACGTGCAAATGGTATCGCAGTTCATTAACCAATCAAACTGAAGAACTCTACCAATATATTTGACCGGTTGCTCCCTTAATTAAAAAAAAACATCTGGGTATGAGAATTTCTAATTGATTAGCAAGCTTGAAATATAATTGGGTTTGAATACCAAAAAAATAAAAATTATTTTCACAATCGTTTTCACAATCTTAGTATAATTCAGTGTTAGTTGTGTTCAAAAAATGTTCATTAAATGGTCATTGTAATGCAACACCTTGAGGATGCTTAGCAATAACCTTCTCAAGTTTGGCAGGCATTTTATTTTATGGGGAGCAGGGATGGCACTGTGGTTAGAGCACTCTACGCCCACCAATGTACCCAGGGTTTGATTCCGGCCCCATGCCATAAGTGGGTTGAGTTTGTTGTTGGTTCTTGCCTTGCCCCGAGGGTTTTTCTCCAGGTTTTCCTGTTTTCCTCCTTCAATAAAAACCAACTCCCCAAATTCCAATTTGACCAGGATAGGGGACCCGCATGAAAACCAGCTAAAGCTGATTTGGTTTCGTCTCTAAATATTGTAATTTATGGCAAGTGTAGCAGAAAAGCGTGAACTTCTAGCATTAAAACTGAGACAAGTTGTACTTTTAGAAATGAGAGTTCATATTGAGAGGGAAAGTCCTCCATCAGCAAGCACAACCTGCAAGAGAGATTAAAAAACAAGAAATGGAACTATAAATATATTTTCACTAACTCCTTCACAAAGGTTTCATGGTGAAGGGCAGAATAAAGCAACAGTACTCATCTCATACTGCACCTTGACAGCAATCTAAGCTGTAGAACACCCTTAAATATAGCTTAGATTTCTCTTAATTCAAAAAATATAGTTGAGCCCCCATAAGCAAACAACCTCATGACCTGGAAAAGTGTCCACTTAAGAGAGGTTCCCACCTATGGGAGGTTTTATTTCTTGAGGTAAGAGATGGATCTAGTTAATTATGTCATACTCTTGGGGAAAAAAATCAGTGTTAATGGGATTGCAGACGCAAAGACAATCAGCCATCAATTTCACACATTAAACAAATTTTGAAATACAAATACAACAAGAAAAGAGTACCTTTTTGCTACTGTTGTTGCTTGCTACTTTTCTTATAGAGTTATACATGGAGTATCATTAGTAATCCTTTTTTCCAATATGATTTACGTTTTTGGTGAAAAAAAGAAGAACACTGACTATAGGGATTAACTTGTTAAACAAGGTAGTGTAGTCACTCCTTCTAGAAAATATTGAATGTGGGTTATGTAAAACTTGAAATAATGTTTCATTATTATTATTATTATTATTATTATTATTATTATTATTACTAATTAATTTTAATAAATTGCTGTATTTGTAATTGAAAACAATAGAATGATTGTGTTACAAAAAAATGATGAAGTATCCACTTTTGGCAGGTGTCCACCTATGCGAGATGTCTGGTAGTAAAGGCACAACATAACCTCACAACCACTGTACCTGGCCTGTAATATATGGTGTCTCAACTAAGAAGCAAACAACCTCTGCAACCTCATGTGTTTTGCCATATCTACCAAGAGGAATCAAATGTTCAATTTCTGAGTTCCCTGTCCTAAGGTTTGAAGTCATGTCAGTATCTATGAATCCGGGTGCAACCATGTTTACTCGAATATTGCGAGATGCCACTTCTTTGGCTAGTGATTTAGTGAAACCTACAAGTCCTGAAGAAAAGAAAAGAAAAGCAAAGGGTTTCAAATGTGATGTCGTTGTACTATCAGTCTGACATTTTCGTGTCAAAATATCATCAACCTTCTTATTTTCATTTTATCCCTCAAAGACGTAAACTACCTGTAAATGACAAGAGGACTTTTTTAAGAATGACTACAGTCTGCCAAAGGTGCGTGACAAATGTGTGAAGAAAATATCAAACTGAAACTCTAGAACTATCTTGTTGTTTTGCTTTTTAACTGCCTTTATGCAGGAAAAAACTGAGTTATGTTCTGGGTCACTGTACTTTTGTTGGGTCTGGTTTTAACCTGATAGGACCTTTTTAACATCTGACAATTTGGCCTCATGCCCCGTCCAAGCCACCGCCCCCAGTGTATACCAGCAGTGTATACATAAACTTGTTGTGATGAATTAGTATCATATATTAAGAATCTGTACAAATTGCCTGTGCCATCATTGGCTATAGGCTTTAAAGTCATAACTCCTGTGAAGGTTGTCATATTATGTAGTTTCGGAAAATTTCAACACTACAACCTGCAGAGAAAATTTTTTGGTTTGAATCTCCCTCCCTCCCTCCCCCCCTTCACCCCCACCTCGCTCCTATGGAAATAATTTTCCAGTTTAGTTTCATACTTTCCTTTGAAAATTTTGAAATTGAGACCCCCCCCCCTCCTCAGAATTTCTAATGCCCTTCTATGGAGGGGGGGGGTATGGATATATTCTAGAACTGCACATTCTGAGCTTCTGGATTTAAATAATCACCACGATATATTCTAGTGGTAAACATAGCTTGCAGTATTGCTGTGCACAGCATGATAATATTTGTCTCATTTCTGTGGCCGTGTCTTATCATGAAGTGGTCTATTCTCTAGACACACATATAAAACATTTTTCATTGTTCATCTTACCTGACTTTGAAGCTGCATACACACACTGCCCTACATTTCCCTTCATTCCTACCACACTTCCAATGTTAATTACCACTCCATTTCTGTCTCTCAGCATATGTTTTAACGCAACTTGTGACGTGAACATTGGTCCCAAAAGATTCGTGTTTATCGTCCTTTGTATCTCGTCAGGTTTAGTTCTTAACAGCAAGTTATCATAATTTACACCAGCAGCGTTCACAAGAACGTTCACGTGTCCGAGCTTGTTTTGAATGTGCTGTAATGAATTCTGAACGGATGTGTAACAACCCACATCACAGCTCAAACTCAAGTGATGTTCACAACAAGTAGCTCTTCGCAAACGGTTCACACATTCGGCGGCACGATCATTGTCTCTGGATAAAACAACCACAATGCCTCCACGGTTGGCGAGTAATTCACTTACAGCTCTTCCAATTCCTCTTGATCCCCCAAACACTGCACATACTTTACCATACACGTTTACGGCCATCTCAACGCTTCTAATCCAATCTGTCAAAATTCGACAGGCGTTGCATGCGTTGCGGCACTGGACTAGGGTCCAGTTCTCTCTGTACTAGGTAACGAATGACGTGCCAATCTGAAGAAAGGGACCACGACCAAAGTCAGATCACAAGGAAAAGTGTAAAATATTAAACGTCACTCGCCTCTGGCCTTTTTGCAACGAAACTATGGGCAACGACTCCTTGTAACCCTATATTTATGGGTTTTGTAAGTTTGAATAAAAGCGGTCACTGTACGTTTGCAGCACGTACTTGATAGCGCTCGATACCCCCGGGAGGGTACTTTAGGAATTTCTGGGTGGGGATGTGCCGCTGGGACCCTGGAACCCTTAGCCTATACTAGAGCTAGTTCAGCTGAATTTTGCTACCCTATACTGGAGCAAACAGTATTAAAACCACCGATTTCCGTCTGAATCCCGATTTTTGCCAGTTCAAGAATAATATCCAGTAGTGCTTTATGATGGTCATCTATCGACGATGTTGAGGCTGAGTTACCAAAAATTTAAACTTGCCGATTTCATTTTTTTACATTTTTGAGCGGCAATTCCTAGTTTCCTTAGTTTAGATAAAATCTTCAACCAACTGGTCAGTTTCGTGAAAAATGATACCCTATTCTAGACCCAAACGCTCTGATTTATATACCCTATGCTAGAGTAAACTGCGTGAAAACCATACCCTTCACAGCGGCACATACCTCTATAGCCCATATATGGCAGTCAGTTCCCCCCCCCCCCGGGTCGACACCTCAGTCTTTGCAAACTCGTTCCGGCAGTTGGTCCAATCAAAGAAGATACGTAGTAAAACATTTAACTTGCCCGCCGACGCAGTCCAACAGTTTCTATAGAAGCCAACAACTTTGTTCATTAGTTACAAATGTGCTTCTCGTAAATTTCCCGAACCCGGTCGCTTACTGCGCGTCTCTTATACAGCGCGGAAGATTGCTTGAAAAAGTTCCATGTAGGCAGTGGCCTATGTAAATTTAAAAAATGTAAATATCTAATTTGTTTACCCACGGAGCACCATGACCAATGAGTGCTAGGCTTAGGCCCTTCCCCCCAGGCCTAGCCCTTCCCCCCAGGCCTAGCCCTTCCCCCCCCGGCCCTCTGAGGGGGACTCCCATATAAAAAGGACGGGGGTGTTTGTCGGAAATTTTGAAAAGAATCCCTCAGAGGTACCAAGATCCTGTTTTGTGGGCGTTGCTTGAAATGTTTCTCACCTCTAAGAGGTAGCAATTCTACAACAGCACATTACCTCTTCTACCTAAAGGTACCGCAAAAGTTCCTGCTGTGGACCGGTTTAAGAGACAGGATCGTCGATGTTTTCTCCTAACTATCCCATGTTGATAACTACCAACTTCCCGTCGTTCCGTTAGGCCAAGCCGATGCGATTCGTTACGTTTGCCCCGCATAGCATTCCACAAGTGTCTTCCTATTATGTCGTTTAAGGAAGCATTCATTCCTTAGAAAGAGGGGTGGGCTGGAGGAATTCAGGGGAGGGTCATCAATTTTTTACCCACCCAAAAAGGGAAGGTCAGCATAAATTTGACACGAGGTGGGTCTCGTCTTATATAAAATAGTATCCTTTGGACTCATGACATTATAGAGCTACTTTAAATAACCTTTTTGTCCCTGAACTGAAATAAGCTCGACACAATCTTGAAAACACCAAGTGAGTTAATTTTTAGATGAAATAAAATACTTCTCCACCAACTACAACTTTTAATTGCTGAAAGAAAATGCTAAAAGAAAAGTTTAGTTAATGCGCAGACTAGTCAATAAATGTCACAATCACAGATGTGGGTCCATAAAGGGTAAAACAGGAACCGGGATTACCCTGTTTTTGCCCTGGGAAAATGGGATGTAAGTCACTAGGACCGGATTTGGTCAAGGCGTAGAAAGAGTTCGAGCGAAAGCAATGAGGCAATCAATTTAAACATAGTTAGTAGAGGAGGCCAGTTTACCAGCAGAGTCTCCTAAGAGCGAACAGCTAGACAACTTCAGTTAGTGTGAGTGACAGTGACTCTGAAGGAGAGGTAAACAGTGCTCTCAAAACAATACTGGGCATGATCCGTCCACCAAGATCGGAAGAATAAGAACATTTACAAGACAAGTCAGTTGACTGATTTCCTGCAGGCAGGAACCTTAAGTGACGACAGGAACTTGTAACCGAACTGATCGCTATAACTTCCCTACTTGAACGTTTTAGCACAATTAAAAAAGGATTCTATCCTCTTTAGAACATCTTCTCAAATTCAAGTGAATTTTTGGGTCTTTGTTAGGTAGTAGTTAGAAACCGACATTCTGTCGATGTGAAGTCTGAAAAAGCTGGTATGCATAACACTGGGATTTCTTCTGGATTCTGCTTGTGGGAATGGGATTAGAGCACTGGGAATTTGAAAAGAAATGGGCTTGGAAATGGATTAGTAACCCCACCCACATCATCAGGAGGAAGAGGGATCACTAGAAATTTAACTACTTCTCAACAAACAATATACTTTCATGCTCATAGCGATTCTTCCGGCCTACCACCTCTTCCCTTTCTAAAAAATAAATGCTCTCTTAGATGTGTCCAAGGGTCTCGCCTTCTTAAAGCGCCTGCACAGATATCACAAAATGAGGTGTTTTTCGCATCAAAAAATTAAGAAAAGACCAGTGATGGTTAGCAATTACATGCGACTGACTATAAAGCAGAAAGAAGCTTTTTTTGCCGATTTTGTACCAGTCATTTGAATTTGAAGACAAGTTGTGGCAAACTTCCATTAGGGTCTCTAAGAAGTTATAAAGGAGCAACCACATTATTTTGCGTTATTTTCTCCCTTTCACCTCTAACTTAATGGAAATCTACAAATATTAGTTAACCAAGATAGAAAAACACTAAAGAGACAATAATGAACCATAAAGGAACAAGGATGGTTAAGGATGGAGAAGATTAACAGGGATTACAAACGACGAACTTGAAACATTTGGGCTAAACTTTTTAAGATGCACAAACTGTGACGTCGTTACATTAACTTTAAATCACTGAGAATTGAAATTCTTTACCAGAGATCCCTATTTCCCTGGAATCGTCGTACTTAGGGGCTTGTGACGGTCTTCTTGACACGCTGTAAATCAAGCAGATGCTTTATTTGCAGAGAACTTCATACAATCAAAATATAAACTTAACATGGCAAGCAACAAGCCCTCAAGTTTCAGGTAAAATACTTGCGAAGATATGTCGCCGGGTCTGTAATCAGGCTGACTTGTTCCACTTACATCACCATTATGACACGTTTGTAGTGCTGTTCTACAAATTAGATATAATCAAAAAATTTGGAATTATATTTAAAATCTAAAATATTTTTTTGTGTGTGTGTTGAGAATACAGTTAAGTTTAAAAGTTGAATTTTCGTTCTGCTCAACTGAACGGCATCAGCCGCAAAAAATATGAATGTTAAGGAGGGCTATATTGATTCTTCTAATATTGTGTTTTATTTTTATTATCTTATTATGTGCATTGACTGGTGTTGAAGCATATTTCTTAAAGGAACGCTTTGCTGTCTATTTTTTACCTAACGGAATTTTACGACAATTTTAAAAGAAAAATTAATGAAAAATGCTGCATGACGTCTTGAAGACTTCGTGTCATCATTGTCAAAAGAGAAATACATTAACATAAGTGACATATAAAAGAAGTGTATAATTAAATAAAGGGATGAAAACAAAAGATTTAAACAACTAAAATTTCGTGTGAAAAATGGTCGCCTGTGCGTTTAGCTACGATTTTTTTCTAATCTTGAACACTTTTAATAGTTTGCCTCAGCATTTCGTAAATATTTTAAAATTTTATATTGCTAAACTGGCTCGTGCAGGAGAATTCTTATTAAACTGGAGAATTCTTATTGCTTCCCTTAGCGGTCCGAATTTTGCGATACGGACCGCTAAGATGGAGCACTCACAAAATTAATTTCGGCGAATTCATTGTACAAAATAAACCATTATTTGGTAAGTAGAAATCTTTTTACCTTCGTGTTTGCAGGACAATAGGCCATTTCCTGGTTGCCCTGTGTCTCCTTTCAAAACGAGTCTTCGTACAAAAAATATAAACATTTCATATGAAAATGAGTTTAATTCGCATGAAAGTTAACCTGTAGGGGGCGCATATTTTCATGTGAATGGTTTCGTACAAAGACTTGTTTTGACACAGAGGCAAAAAGCAACTCGAAAATAGCCTATTTCAATTACATGTTCACAAAAGCGACGTGAGAAACGGTATTCGATATCTCAAAAGAGACAGGACATAATATGATTCTAGCTCCAAAGAGAGGGCTCATTAATTAAACAGTGACCGCTTGTTTGAGAAGAGCGAGGCTTAAAAGCTTAAAAGAGATAGTCCTGCTGTTAAGAGCCAAAAATAACCAGAATTGTTCATTTTGTGATAAAAGCATGAAACTTCCCAGGATGACTAACCTCTATAAGGTAAACATT